GTTCCACGTAATGACCTTGTGGCTGCCGGGAGCCCGAGCTGGGCAGACGAGTGGTTCTCCCTCCGGACGAGTCCGTTGGCGTCCGGTCGGACCGGTGGTTCTGAGGATGCACTCGCAGGATGTGGGGAAGCAGGTTGAAGGGCTGCAGGAGAAGGAGGTGCAAAAGATGCTTGGCAGTGTGAAAGCAACGACATCCGACTTCTGCGTGAAGAAACGTTTTTGGAACGCAGCAAAATTTCGGTCCGTTGCTTCACCCAAATCTTGGATGAGCTTTCTTCCCAAAACCTGATTGATCCTGATTGCTCCACTTACTTCCCGCAAGCTGATTGCGCTCGACCGGGTCCAAACGATTCGAAGCACAGCAGTTGATTTCAATCGGAGTCCCGAACTGCTAGCGTTGGACGAAGTCATTGACACCAAAATGAACCTCCCACCAGCTGCTTCTAATGGGTCACCAATGGACAACCCTACACTACGCTTAGGTCTCCATTGGACACCCATTGGAAGCGCGATCGGCATTGATTTCTTCCTTTTTTTCCCGAAGGGGAAGGCCGAAACATGAAAAAACCTCCGTAGAACTGCGGAGCTCAGGATCGTCTTCCGGAATCTCAGCAAGTTGATGACCCCCGCCAAGGCCGCGGGCGGGCGGGCGCGCGCGCGCGCGAACAGACGTCCCCGGAGAATGGTTTTTGGGTCGAACAGGGGTCGAAGATGACGCGAGGTTTGTTGAACGGGTCTAAGTGGTGGAATGGGCAAGTAATGACATATAGACATGTAAATAGGGTGTGCAATGGGTTTACAGATCATCTTCAGGAAAAACATGGTGTTTACTGTTTGGTCTTTGCGGAATCTTCAGTTCCACCATTGGCGCTCTTTCCCTCCAAATCTCAACTCCGAACGCTTGGAACTTCCCCTCTTCATGTGATGCTCGCGCATGCGATGCAGGAGGCCGTGCTGTTGGCCCGAAAACTTCAAGACAAGGCAGCTGGGTAGGTCCCAGCTGGGTCTGGTGGGTTGGCTGCAGACTGAAGAGCTGTGGGTAAGAGAGATGCTTAGACGGGATGGACGGGATTTACGGGATGGACGTCTTACTGGGTCGGGATGGACGTCTTACTTTACGGGATTTACAGTATCTGGAAAAGTCAGGCTGTGGCACTTGCTCTCATGCTCGGCATGGTCAGCATGACGGATTCTTATCCAGGATCGACACAAGTAATTAACCTACACCACCTGGCATGATGGCTCAACTAGTGATGTAGGATCATTGATTAAAATACCCTCATATGAAGGGGCTTTTTAAGCCACATGTTTTTTGTTTTGAGCAAGATCCTACATCAGCTTAGCATCATCATCCTGTTTGTGCTGATTTGTTTCATCAACAGGGGGCACGACCTGCAGCAGATCGGATTGGCAAGTGCGACACTCACAGGTTGCTTGTGTGGCCCTACATGGCCAGAGTGGAGACCCATATTTTTTCACAAAAAGGTCCCAACTCGGCTCAAGATGATTCAAGATGATTTGCCCTCTCGCCATCCGTGGTCTTCACCAGCCGTGTCTTCACAGCCTTTCTCTTTGGCGCAATGGCTTTTCTTTTTCACCAAACCAAGTGGCCCCGCCGATGTTCAACGCCGACGATGGTCGCGGGCCGAGGTGTTCTCGGCTGTTTACTGGTTCGGTTCGGTTTTTTGGGCGCCGCGAGGTCGATGAATCGCAGAGTTTGAAAGAGCCGGACGGCCGGACTTGAACTCTTCACACTTCTGCATGTGAAACACACGGACTGACCCAGGACCCTCATGCTGTACAAAACAACCGGTCGCCACTTCAGGGACTCATCGCCCGCACCTTATGCTCTGTGGGCGAAGTCGAAGCCAGCCACGTGGCAGGAAGACGTGCGTGCACCGCGGCGTGGCGACACCGGAGACACGGGAGACACGGTGGAACCCCCCTTGACATGGAGATCGATTGAAAGATCTGAGTCGAAGGGGATGTCCTTTCTCGGCCCGGGACAACGGTCGGAAGCCGAGGTCTACTTAGTCTGGAGTAATTCTAAAGGCATAATGCATCGTGGAAGACTACTGAATTGTGCTCTTGGCTTCCTTCTATAAGTGCGTGTGTTTCTCGAGCGACGCGGCATTGGTGCGGCACCGGACTAGATCAACACCATAAGAAACTAATTATATTCAATACCAATGAGGGAGCACATGCATCGAATAGATGTGTTTGGTGATTCTCAGTTGTTTCAGGTTATTATCCTCATGTTAGGAATTAACATTTGATTCTATACCAGGTTTTTGCTTCAGTTCTCCACGTTCATCGCTTTGCTTCCCTTTCTTTTTGGAACAACTCCCTTTGCTTCTGTTCGTGTCCGGATAACTTCCTAGATCGAAGTCTGGTTGGCTTCACTCACGATTCGTGGTGATATTTGCACATGAAACGTCTTTTCGCGTATTTTCCCATTTTTTGGTTTTTAGATGTTTTTTACTTTATACAAAAGTTATACGGTGCTTCCTTCTGGTCGCTTCGGTCGACCGTGCCTTACCGCCCTCCGTCCGAGGCGTCGGGAAGTGGGACGCCGCCTTGGCGGCCGTCGCGGAAGCCGCGGTGCTGGGCCGGCAGGTGGGCGCCAGAGCCACCGAGTCTCGGACGACGCCGCCGGGTCGACGAGGGTCGCCCGAGTCGATGGACCCCTGAGACGACCGGTCCCTCCCAACCCCGTCAGGGGTCTGGAATTCGAATCCCGACCCTCTTGCGTTTGGGACCAGAAGTAGGGCTGTTTTCACGGAGCGGGTAGAAGCTGCGCAAAGCAGCCCAAACATGCTGGGTGGGATAGCCCCCAAAGTGGTGACCACACTACGGCCCTTGGTGCGTTGATTGATGGGTGGCGGCCAGACCCTAGGAAAACTCATGGTTCGGGATTCCAACCATTCATGCCCAGGAACCCTGCAGAACACAGAGGGACCTCGGACCTCGAGAGATTCCTCACGTCGTTTTGAAGCGGTGGCTGAACGCGTTGCTCCGGGCCCCTCGATGGGTCTGGTATAAGTTCATGTACAGCTGAGAACTGTGATCAGAACCCCCAAAGTTTTGGTGATAGGACTGTGATATTTTCTTGATCGGACCGGACTGTTTGGATAAGAAACTTAGGGTGGACACCAGAGTCTGAAGGATTCTTACATGAGCAATCGTCAAAAGGATAGGTAAAGTGAACAGTAGCAAAGACCTCCCATATTTTTCTGGCCCGGAGCCAGTATGCCTTGTAGAACGGGATAGCGGTGCCAAGTGAATGAGATACCCCCTGGCAAATGAATACATATAAACCCCCGTTGTGCGGATAATTTTCTTTTTAGTACATAACTAAATATGCGAATGGAAGTGCAGTGACATGTACAGTGCAACATGTACATATATACATGTACCATATGTACTTTGGCTCAAGGATCAAGCGACTAGAAAAGGTGCGGATTCCGTTCCGACGCTACGCCGCTTATGGACCGTCAGTGATAGCTTCAAACTTCGCTGATTAAGATCCACTCGCAGGTTATCAGCCGTACGCGCTCTTTATAGCCGTACGAGCTACACGAGACCAAGAACAAGACTAGTCATTACAGAAACCTGCAATGTCAAGCTCAGGAGGAAATGGAAGCGAACCCTATTCATTCGCTGCTCCTGGTGGTCCCAACACCATTTCGTCACCAGACTCTACAATGGGTACTGATTCATCAGCAAATGCTGACGTTATCACTATGCCTACAGGATCACAAATCTCGGAAAGATCCGTGCCACCGGCTCGGAATCTGACCGATCTTGCGCCCGTAGGACCAAGAAGATCGATGAGAGCTACAACAAGATCTACATCGCCTATAACGTCTACCGCAAGATCCCCAAGAAGGAGTATAGAGAAGAGACGTGACGATGATAGAGGAACAAAAGAACAAAGAAGAGAGATTCAGCTGGGTGAAGAATTGAGATCGGCGAGAAACGCATACAATTTTCTTCATCAAGAATATGAATGCATCCAAGCCGGATACTCACGACTACACCACGAGGCTGAAGTGGAGTTCAGGCAAATGTCTGACTACAACAGGAAGATGCAGGAGCACCTACAGGAGATGACACAGGAGGATGAAGGAGCGACAATAAGAATTGAAGAGCTCGAACACAAACTACGCTTGGCGGAATCGACAGCTGAACATATCTACATGAGATATCAAGAGCTTGCGCAAGAAACTCATCAAGAACATTCAGAGCTTGAATCTGTGAAAGCAACGAAGGACAGAATGTCCCAAGAGCTTCAAGCAGCAATTGGACACATCCAAGAACAGAATGAATCTTCATTGGCGATCAATAGAAGATCAAAAGCCATTCATGATGAGAACACAGCCTTCGTTGGAATAGCTGACCAGATACAAGCTAGAATGATTGCGCTACAGGATGAGAATGTCAACATGCACGAGGTGATCCAACACCAGAGAGAAGAACAATGGAACAGTGAGGTCAGGGAAAGACGTCTTCAACACAATGTTCACTCATCTCAAGATCAGAGCAATCAGGAAGCTATGGTTATTGATCACCTACGAGGTCAACTAGCTATGGCACGTGGAGCTGAACTCAACGCGAAAGCGGAGATGGGAGAGATGGAAGTGGGCATGAGGATGGAGATGTTTATATGCCAGACTGAAGTATCTGCTAAAGAAATGGCAGATGCGAGGGCGAGCCATCACGAATACGAAGCAAACGTAGCAAAAGAGGTCATCGCAAAAGGAGAAATATTCAACAACGAAGTCCTAGAAGGCTCCATCCGTGAACGACAACAATTGAAAGACGTCAACCTCGCTCTGTCCGAAGCCAACGCACAGCTGAAAAGAGAGAATATGATGAGAGCTCCTATGTTCGGCGATGATGGTGCTGAAATTCAACAGAAGATCAGAGAACTGGAGGATGCACTATTGGAAAGCCAGAAGGAGACAAAGAATGTCATTATGGAAAATGCGAAATTAAAAGCAGAAGCACGAATGGCACCCATAGTCTCTCGGTACAGCAAGCGTTCTAGTTCCAGAGACCGCGGGTTACCAACCCACGCGTCCGAGGAAGATGAGGTTCGGAACGCAAAAGAGGAGGCGAAATACTACAAGGATGGGTACAATGAAATGACAGAGAGCCGAGATGAGATGTATGAATGGTATGCCGAAACCCACAATGAGTACGCCGAGGAAAGGGAGAAATCAATTGAGCTGTCCGAGGCGAACAAATCATTGAGGGATAAGATTTCAGAAACAGAGGCATCCTCTTCATCTCATCTTGCACCGGCAACCTCTACTGTCATGAAGGTATCGAGGAAGGAAGAATCAAAGATAAACGTTCCGTCATGGCCCAGGATCAATGATATTGGATTATGGAAGGCAAATCTCATTCAATCAATCATCATTGCGGCCAATGATTCAGATCAAGAGCCCTGGATCGACTGGATCAAAGAAGCCATGGACGATCCTGATCCGGACAAGTTTGTCGACTCAGGGGACCAAAGATTCCATTCAATCGATGCTAAACTCGGCCTAGCTCTTACCAAGGTCGTCATGGATGCGAAAGATGATGGTTCAGGTGTAGCTATGAAGTTGAGGACGAGGATCAATGCAAAAGGGAGAACATCAAGCCTTATAAAGGGGAGAGAGGTCCTAGCCTTGATCCTTATGAACTTCAAGACAACATCAAATGTGGAAGTCTTATATACCTCAATGCACCTCTACCAACTAGAATATCAAGGAGACAAGAACTTATCGTTGTTCTTCCACACTTGTGATGAGATTCTGGCAGGAATGAAACCCGTTGACGTCCCGAGCGATGAAACTCTTCGGGATCTCCTATGGAGAAAGATCAGGAACTCAAACCTCATGGCATACGACATCAGCGCCTACAACAGCATGAACGACGATGATGCCAAGAAGACATACAAACATCTACGTGATATGATCAGAAGGCACATCGAGCGGCAAACTGAAGACAGAATGATCCTGGAAAAGGAGAAAGCAGTGAAGAATGTGGCCAATATCTTTCAGAATCTCAAACCAGGCGGACCTGCTCCAAAACTGAAAGCTGCACCAGCTGATCCGAAGAAGAAACCAAAAGGGCAACAAGAACAGGTTGTCCCAGAAGATGCTGCTGCAGTGAAGCCGAAACCCAATCCCAAGAAGCATCCTGAAGACAAGAACAAAAAGGGAAAGGGGAAAGGTAAAGGTGATGGAAAGGATCGCAGCCGAAGTCCGAGTACAGACAAAAAGAAGATACCGTGCAAATTCTTCGTGAAAGGTAACTGTACTATGGGGAAAGATTGCCCATTCAGTCACAAGAAACCCAGATCGCCATCCAGAGGACCTTCTGTCGGAAAGAACGACAAGCCAGTATGTTGGATGTGGATTCGAGGAACTTGTGACAAAGGGAAGGATTGTAAGTTCTACCATGACCCAAAAGCCTCTCCTAAGAAAGGAATATCTGCACCAGCTGACTCAGGAGACGATAGGCCGAAGCCCAAGGCAAAACCCAAGCCGAAGCCTAAGGCGAAGCCTGGAGCCCCGGCCATTGGCGGTGAACTCTTCATGGACGAATCCGAAGATGAAGGGATTGTTGCATCCGCCAAGGCAAGGGAAGGAGATACAAAAGTATCCTTTGATGAAGAGACTTGTGAGATCATGTTGAACGAAGCGATCTACTCAGTCAGGGACAAATGGAAGATAGTAGAAAAGAGACCTCTACGTCCGGACATCAAACGATATGATGAGAAAGAGCTCACCTGCTACACGAGGAAAGAACAAATCAGATTTGAAGAAAAGGTCGCAGAGGCAAGAGGCATATTGATGGTCCCTTACACTGAGATCAAGAGGATCCGAATACCAGTTGGACCAAAGGGTGACCTATCGGTCACTATGTCTTTTGATGAAGATGACGGCCTAGTTTTTCATCATAAAGTCATTCCTCATGTATGCGAGGGAAAGAATGATCATGCAGACACAAAGACGTTGTCTATTCCAGCCAAAGGGTCAAGAACGAAGTTCATCATGGACACAGGATGTGGGTATGATCTGATATCGAAAGGCAGAGCCAAGAAACTAGGTCTGGAAGTGAGAGAAAGCGACCAATCAATGTCATTCTATACCGCAAATGGAGTGACATCCACAAAAGGGGTCGCCGACATTCATTTCGACGAATTTGATTCTACCTACTCCCCATTCGTCCTAGATGAATCTCCTTCAGTACTGTCTGTTGGAAAGAAATGCATGGAGGAAGGATACACATTCATATGGCCAGCCTGCGGCAACCCGTACATGATTTCCCCGAACTACAAGAAAATAATGTTAGAAGTAGAGGGAAACATCCCATATATTGTCAAGGGCAGTGACTTTTGTACTCCCACCGACGATACAAGGGCGGAGATGATCGCAAGGTTCACCCTAGGAGAAGATGAAGCCGATTACCAATCGACTTTCATCAACTGTGATGTGGATCCTCAAGGAATCATGTGTGATAATGACGACCTTCCTGTGGTTGAACCTCCAAAAGTCAAAAGGCGAAAGAGGAATAAGAAGTTCAAGGCATCTCCTGGAGAAGAAGATGAGGTAGGATCAGATGTCGCCGGAGACAGT